GATACAGAACAACATGTAAGACTATGATGAAGGCGTTGGACGAATAGGACTACGTATATAGATGTATCAAATATTCGTAAAATTAGCAAAAAAACTATTTAAGATTATGTCTCAAAATTAAAATCTAAAAAGATTGATACAAGACAATTCAAAGAAACATTTAACATTGTTAGGTAACGTCATGTTTAGGTATATACATCAATAAAGCGATTATAAACGTAAATAAATATATTTACGTTTTGTTTACCACCTAAATAGTCGAGATAAGTGAAAGAAAAAGAAAGGCAAAACCAGAAATTGACCTTGCAAAATTCGAAACTTCATCAGCACTGTTGGGTTGCGTGACGTTTTTAATCGTTTGCCGACGAGTTCTTATCGTCGCGTACACCAGTATTTGACGATAAACAGAATAAACGATAACGATTGAAAACAAAGAAGAAGGAATCATTTCTACTACTAGCGTTTAGATAAAGAGTTCTTAGTCGGCGTGCGTGGACCGAGTCTTCATCGATCGCCTCTCTGCTGCTATTGATGAAGAGTTGTCGAGTTGCAATTACGATCGCGACGAGTTGAGTTAGTTGCGATGATGAGCCGTGAGCGCATTTGTGAGAATCGACACCAATTATCGGTCGGTCATTAAAGTATATTACGACTCTGATGGGTTCTAAGTAGCAGACGATCTCTTTACAATAAAGGTCACCATGCAAAATAACGGGTTGATATGATCGACCTTGACTTTGTATCTTTTTTCTTTTCATTTAATCTTTTATTGTCTTTCAAAATTTAATTGCTCGACATTATCGTTAAACGAGAATTCTTAATTTCGTTGTTTTCCTGAAATTCTACAAAACCACAATATCAGATTACATTTTTTTAAATAACTCCATTATTCATTGTTTGTAATTACGTTTCAATGAATCGCAACTACACAACAATTCTTGGGGGCTCGAACTTTGGATTCACAACAAAACAATTATTAGAGAATAATAACTATTAGAAAACAAGTACTTAACGTAAACAATCATAAATGTTTCTTTTATTAATTTTTTTGATCCGAAGAAAAGCTTTGTTATTGTTTGTTATTCCGCGGTATTGTTTCTTAGATGTCAAAGTGAAAAGAATTCTCATTCAATAACTTCATAGAGCAGACGATAAACTAGGTTAGCAAAAAATCATATCAAAGGAGATATTTTTATTGTCATGTATGGTTGATTTGTGATTAATAATACTACATGGTTATTAACTTATTTGATATGATTATTTCACAATTAATACGTTATGAAATGTACTGTAAACAGCATTGTTGCTATTCTCAGAATGTTAGGTGTTAGTGGGTATTGGATCAAAAAGATGTATGATGATGTAAAGTTGATGAAAAAGCTTGAACTTAGGAAATCTACCAAATACACGCAGCACAGAAGGATAGATATATCATCCAGCTGGAAGACGACATTAAAATGATAAGTAAAGGTGAAGAATTACATACCGGGTTTTGCAAAAGAAAAGTTTTGCTTGGAAAAGGTGACGTCCTTATGATAACTCCGAGTTTCCGTCTCAAGAGACGCACGGCTAACCCGAATGTGGCTGGTTCTAGGTCTCGTGTTAGTTCTAGTTTTATACTACCACTATTACTATGTAGAACTAACACTATACCTAGAACTAGAAACATTTGGATTTAGCCGCACGTCTCTAAAGACGGCTAAACCCAAATGATTCTAGTTGTAGGTATAGTGTTAGTTACACTTAACTGTCACTAGAACTAACATTAGACCTAGAACTAGAAACATTTGGATTTAGCCATACGTCTTTTAAAACGGCTAAACCCGAATGATTCTAGTTCTTGGGCTAGCACTGCATAGCAATTAAAACTAGAACTAACACTAGACCTACAACTAGAAAGATTTAGGTTTAGCCGTGCGTCTGAGGACGCACGGCTAAACCCGAAACTCGCTAGTTCTAGGTCTAGTGTTAGTTCTAGTTTTATTTTACTAAAAATATGCAACAATGTGATATTTTATGCTAACTAGAGAGGTTACCTCTTAAGAATGTACGGCTAAACGGAATGTTTCTAGTTCTAGGTCTAGTGTTAGTTTTAGTGCTAGTGTTAGTCTAGTTTTATTTATTATTCAGCGCTAGATGAAGCCAGATATGGGTAATGAGCGCTAACCTCGAGGGAAGAATATAAGCTGTGGAAATGAGCTATCTTAGAAAAGACTTTTTCGTATACAACATATTGCAAATAATAATATTTGGAAAAGAATGAAAACAACTACTGTGATAGACCGAATAAAAATAAGAGGCGTACGCTGGTTGAAACAACTGACAGATACCGCCAGGGAGAATGAAATGTGGAAGGCTGAAAAGATCATGGAATCAAGCAATTAAAAAGAAGATGAATAGGAAACAACTGAATGAAAACAAGACAAGATAAAGAGACATGGAAAAGAGAATTGTATAAACAATACATAGTTGTAAATTATTATGTAGCATAGGATCCTATATTAGTCTTAATGTAGTACTCCATAAATATATATATAACTTATTATGAACCTAATTCAACAACTATGTTGAAGGCAGGCCAAAAATGTATACCTAATTGAAGGTCATAAGAAGGGCAGGAAGAAAGTCCTGTTCACTACTTATAACCCAAAACTGATAATGTCCATGTATGAACCTTTTCACATTGTAATTTAGACATTTCGTGAAAAAATACGTATTATTATTATACTATGTAAGTTTAAAAAACTTCATCATTCAGCTAATAAACTAATAGTATAAAAATTATTTTGTGAGCAGCCACCATCTTTGCTCGGATAATATAAAAATAGCTAACAGAGAACGTCACCATTCTTGAAAATTTTCTCGTCTTTATACATAAATAAATTCAAAATTATAAAAAAAGCAAAACAATCAGTATAATCTTAGCAACGAAGCAATAAAGTAGTACCAAGTAGAGAAAAACAAATAAATACACTTACCAAAGCAACAAAGTATATAAAATACAAATAGCTTAAGGATGATGGAAGAAAACAAACCATAGATGACGGAAGAAAACTTGATGCTCATGGAAGAAAGGAGGAAGCAAAAAAATAATCAGCATACAAAAGCATAAAGAAAGACATACAAATAATAATTCGCGAAACCAAACAAAAGGAATTAGATAAGAAAAACTATGAAGTCGATGTTTTGCAAGACAAATTTGACATATTCAATATGCATAAGAAGGTTAGAGAGGTTGCTGGAAAGTTTAGGAAGTGAACTATGGGAACAGAGTCAGTATGATAACTCCGTCGCAAAACATAACCAAAGTGGTTTTATGCCTCAGCAAAGGGGATCTAAGAACGCTCTCAGGCTACTTGACCGGCCATGTGCCCCTAAAATACCACCTCTTCCACATTGGACAAGCTGAGGATCAAACTTGTCGACTATGCAACGACGAGTCAGAAACTGCTGAACACATACTGTGCAATTGCGTCGCCAGAGGCCGTCTAAGGCACAACGTCTTCGGTAAAACTCCCCTGTTACCTACCGACATAAAGGTTCAAGACCTCAGGACAATACTAAGGTTCATTAAGGACCTACATTTGCCCTAAACCTTTGGAGGGGTAAAGTTACAATAGATCTTATAGGTCGCGGTAACGAGAGGGGCCGCTCTCCTCAGCCCGGCAGTAATAATAATAATAATAATAATAATAATAATGGGAACAGAGACTTAGAAAAGCTACATACAACAACTTATTTCGACGTAAGAGGAGTTCCATCATCCGTTCAGACTAAACCTAGATCTAGTGTCTTGGCAGATGAAGCCAAAGTCGCCCTCCATACTCTAAAAGAAGCAAAGTTCCGGGATCAAAATTCTTCTAGCTCTTGATGATACATCTATTAAATTCTTGTCTGACATTTAATAATATCTACAATACTGGAAACATCCCAAATTAATGACTCATTTCTGAAATGATAATTCATGCTGTTGCCATAGAAACGGGGAGATAAGGTGGCTATAAAATCATCAGCCTCATAAGTCATATGATAAAGCTATTTCGTAAAATAGTCCATTGAAGAATGTACAATTTGTGTTTATGAAAAAAGTAGCGATGCTCTGTTCTGCCTGTTACAAGTGTTATTCCAGAGATATGAACTGTGACGTTTTTGTCTGATTTGTTGATTACAAGTTATGACACGAAAAGATGATGGAGGTTTTGGATAATACGGAGATTGACGACAAGGATCTTACAAAACCTCAACTGGAACTTCACTTTTATTCAACCTCAGAAGAAATATTTAAGAAAGTCCTAGAAAATAACATAGAAATCCTACTGAATATTCAGACAATACCGTGATGATTCACTGACAGCAGAAAAAGCTTACAAGAACTAATGAAGAAAATAAGCGACAAGAGTTACAATACGGCTTAGAAATTAATATAAATACCAAGTTCATGGTAATTGGTAATTAGTACACACCAATAAAGAGGGTATCACAGTTCGCCTACCTAGAGACCGTGATTAATGAGGATTGGCACCATTCCTAGGAGATAAGGTGCAGAATAGAGAACCAAGAGTCGCGTTCAACCGGGTGGCTAAACTGTTCAAAAGTCGATATTAAAGTCAGACTCTGTGTTTTTGGTGCTTTTCTATAAAGTGGAGTTGTGTACATTAACCCAGATAACACAAAAAAATACTCGAAGTCTTCGAAATGTGGATCAACAAAACAGTACCACGAATCTTATAGGTGGAGGGAAAAATTTGGAATTGATAAACATATAAAATATAATAAACATAGTAATATGAACAGTATCTACTCGTAATATTCAATTAAATTGAGATGAATTAAGTTCTAATTATACACGTACGAGTATAACTCAATAATTTTGCTGCCATTTTTAGCTTTTCCACCTCAATATATAATTAATTTTAAAAATACTCGATTTTAATCTCATTTTAAATAACATAATTTATATTTACAATTATCAATAATTAAAAAAAAGATTTTTGACCTACCTTAACCCACTGTTATTCAATTTAAGATTGACGATGGTCATGTTGAGCTCTCGAAATGTTCTATTATGAAGATCGTCAAGTTGTGATGAATCGATTTCTAAAGTAACCGGCTCCCTGCCGAAATTGTTCCGAAGATGGTCGACAATCTCTGCAAATGATGCTGTTTTCTGGCAATGAACCACGATCCTCAGCGCGGGATAGGTCTCCCTCCGGCAGTTGCAGATCACCGTCCTCCTCCTGCCCTCACAATCGTAGGCCGCTGTCGGATGGGCCACCGCGACCAGGAGCAACGCGAAGAGAACGCCGCCGAAGGCACTTGTCGTCAACCACTGAGGAGATGTCATCCTCATCAAATCGAACACGAAAGCTCGAATTCGACGTCGCGAATATAAACACTAAAAAGATTTATTTAATAATGTTCTTTAAAGGGACGGATTATTGTTTTGAAAAGAAAATTTGTCGAGGGAAAATTTTCTTTAAGCAAAAAGCTCAACCCCCCAGAGATTTTGGACCGCGACGGTCCTCCGATTCGAGTCGATTCGGTTTGGTTGAAAACGTTTGCTTCTCGATCGCGCCGCAGTCGCCTGGTGACTGACGCCTGATACGGTCCGCGGTGGCGCCTAAATTTCTTGCCTCGTAGCCTTTAGCCTTGGACGGACGGACGGGCGCTCGCTCGCGGCTGAATCGCAGAACTTCGTAAATCCAGAGGCGGGCGCCGGCGACGGTAGCGCGTCCCCCGCCGCCGTCGTCGTCGTCGTTACGGCCCGTAGCACGCGACGGTTATCATCTTTTCCGATCGCGTCCGCGGGCCCCCTGATGAACCAACTCGAGATTTATGAACAGCCGAGGGCTCGTCGCCGTTCACAATGATCGCCAGAAGACGGCGCCTGCACTTAATCGTCCAGTTGCTGGGCGGTTTGTTGCTATCGTCTCGCCGGTGAAAAATTGTTATAAAATTACATAATGAAGGTCGATCTATACGTGAAATCGCTAAAACACTTAATAAAAGTGCTTCTACAATTCAGTATATAATGAAAAGGTTTGTGGATACCGGAAATATTGAAAATGCTCCGCGTACTGGCCGTCCAAAATAGTTGACTCCCCGAGAAGAACGAAGTATTAGGCAAGAAGTCAACGCAAATCCTCGGATAAGTGCCCCAAAAATAGCGGCAAACGTCCAAAACAAATTTAATAAAACCGTAAGTGCAGAAACTGTGCGAAGGGTTTTGCGTGGTGCCGGGTATAACGGACGAGTACCACGAAAGAAACCTTACATTAGCGATGTTAACAAAAAGAAACGAATCGAATTTGAAAAATGCATAAAGATAAAGATATGGACTTTTGGAAAAGGGTCATTTTTACAGATGAATCAAAATATAACATTTTTGAATGCGATGGTAGGGGTATAATTTGGAGGAAGGCCGGTACAGCCCTAGATTTAAAAAATCTCCTACCAACAGTGAAACATGGCGGTGGATCCGTTATGGTATGGGGATCCATGGCTGCTTCAGGAGTCGGTAGTTAAGTCTTTATTGAAAATATAATGAATAAGTGGCAATATTTAAATATTTTAAAGGCTAATTTAAAGCAAAATGCTATACAATTGTGTCTTGGAAGTAATTGGATTTTCCAACAAGACCAAGACCCAAAGCATACAGCGCATGTAGTTCGCGAATGGCTTCCCAAGCAGCTACATTCTCCTCTACAATCACCGGATATTAACCCCATAGAGCACGTGTGGGATTACTTAGAAAAATCTATTAGAATGCACAACATTAGTAGCAAGGAATCCCTAAAAGCTGCATTACAAGTAGAGTGGGATAAAATTCCGGCATCATACACTGAAAAACTTGTTCAATCTATGCCAAGAAGACGAAAAGCTGTACTTAAGGCGAACGGAGGACCAACCAAGTACTAGTACCAGCTTGGCTGCGTCTTTAATTACAACTTTTGGATCTGTACGATCACTTTTGTGACATTCTAATGGAAGAATTTTGAAGAACTATTAAGTTATTTTGTTAAATTGCAGTGTTTTCTGTTTATAAATCTGTTAAAAATAAATAATTATGTGTATGGTAATAAAAAAATACTTTTTTTACAACCTCATTTTGGATATTATGCAAAAACCGTTGGTGTACGATGACTTTTGGGACTGACTGTATTTTATGCTTCCTCTAAGTTTTAAAGATTATGAAACGTGTCCGTATTATCCTTGGGTTTAAAAAGTGAGAGGGGAATAATAAAAATATTGCCCAATTATTATCAGTTATTCTTTGAACAAGATCTTCATCGTTGTGTATTTAGGTTTATCATAAAACATTTTCTGATTATAGTGATGGAGGGTTTACGACATTTTGCTTGCTTAGTTGATTGTTTTTTTCCTATCTTGTTGTTCCTTTTTGCTTCGTACCGAGGCAATATTTCTATTCTGATATTTCTGCGATAAAATATGTAATGACGTCATGTGTACTCCAAGACTCTAATCTGGGTTCACTTCTGTTTACTCTCATTCGTATGAAATGATGGTGATTCAAGAACTGAAAGAAAGTGACTACGTACGGCAATTTACGTTTATAGAAACGATTCTGGAAATTTTGGGAAATCACTGTATTCTGGTAACGATTCACAATGTAAATTCACTTTTAGAAAATATATTCGGAAGATTTTTATGATGTGAATTCAAAAATATCCAGATTTCGTAGTAAATGTGCACAATTCTCAAATTCACTGTAACAAAAATTGTATCTATTTTATACCGGTCAAACCCAAGGACAGTAGAACCTAACTACTAAATTGTTGTGACAACCTGCCCGCAAACTACGTCATACCATTTGCTACGCCCAGCTCTATGCGTTTGCTGTGGTTTTAGAGGTTATATCGTAGACGTATTCATATTATTTTTGAAGTTTTATCTTTTTAGACGTATTAATGTATATCATGTAACCTCTAAATCTCTAAAAACACACAGCAAACGCATAGTACTGAGTGACAGTTAACAGGGCGTGGCAAATAGTGTGACGTAGAGTGCGGGCAACCAACCCGTAGTGGGCTACAAAAATACAATGCATGTAGCAGTCCTGTTAGATTCTACTGTCCTTGGGTCAAACCCGATTTCAGGCTAAACTTGTGTATCCTAGATCAAACCAGTTTATGTTATCAACTAATTCAGCATACGAAAAAGTAATTTGGCCTCATAATAAATAAACATTTTAGGCTAAATTAGTATCACCTAAACTACACTGGTTCTGCTTTGTTTCTATTCTGTTGGATGCCAGTTTTCTACTATTTGCGCGTTGTCGTTTTATTACTTGATAAGAATTTGTTTGCTACACTTAAAATTAAGTCTATTCGAAATTTGTAATTTTCTATAGATTAAATTTTACTGTCAGAAATGAATAGTAAGTGCCAAATAGACCTAATCGATTTTAAGGCTCAATCTGATGGAAAATACAGGATTGTTCTAGTTTACCAAGATTACATTGTATTGCTCCGTCCTTTAGAAACTAAAAGAACAAAAAAACTTGCCTACTGTATTCTAGAATCAGATAACTTAAACTAGTGCGCGGGACACAACATCAAAAATAAATTAAAGCTTACGATTTATAAAAAATAACATATCATTTAGGCATAAAACAATTGCCTTACAAAGCTATGTTTGGAGTGGAACCTAGAGTAAGTCTTCCAACGGCATTTTTACCACACAGAATAATAATTATGTTCTCTAATGTTCATTAGTAACTTCGAAAATAATAATGAAAATCATGAATACAAAAGGTCGTTCACCAGCTAAAGTTCAATTCTTGATATAGATAGAGGTATAGTAACCCTGAGAAATACGTATATTTAAAATAAATGACAGAGGCATATACAAAAGCAGGTACCCAATTCAACTCTGTAGGTTATGTAAACACATCACATCGTTCCTGCCAAGCCAAAACGGTATAAACGCCAAAATGGTCACTTTTTATTTAGCTATACTGTTAAACCGAATTTTTAAATCCGCATCCAGCAGTTAAAGCGCCATAACCGCAAAAAAACTTCAATCGCTGCAATATTAATTTACAGTTTTCGCAAATGCCTATAAATGTTGTTTTAGCTTGGCAGCGGTGACGTACTGCTAAATTTAAGCATATTGGTCATAAAAAAATTAAACATGACCATTTTTTGTTTGTGTTTATCAAACTGAATTTGATATTTCTATCCAAACATTTTTATTATAAAGCACAGTAAATCAATATACCGGGTGTCCAATTAGTGCGATATCGGACGATATCTCCTTACAGGGTGTCGCTAGAAGAAAATGTTTATATATAAAGTTGTTTGGTGCTCGAAGGTGCATAACCTAAAAATATTTTTGTTTATACAGGATGTTCCAAAAACAAAGTACAACTTCGTACATTTAAATGGACCACCCCATATTTTATTACATTTTTGAATTACCCTTAAACTTCGACATACTTTTTGTTAAGCATTACCTATACCAAAATTTTTTTCAAATATTCAACATTTTGTGAAAAAATCGCCGTCTGCACGTGTCTATAAAAGAAAGCATACCCAATTTATTTAAGGCCCTACAAAACAAATCTTTTGTAGATTATTAATGCATAGTTACAGTAACTTTATGCCCCTATAAAAATCTGATAACGTTCTACAGGGTGTTCGTAATATTGTACTCAATACCAGAAACTTGAAATAGCTATATCTCATTTTTTTTAAATGGAATGCCTCATATTTTTTTATCTTAAATTATTCACCAAGTAATAAGGTTTCTTTTTTATAAAGCATGTTCTATACCTATTTGCAATAGTTATCGAGTTATTTATAGGACAATAGGTACGAAGTTACGAATATTACGAAGTTCTACCTTGTACTTTGTTTTTGCAACACCCTGTATAAACAAAAATATTTTTGGGTTATGCACCTTCGAGCACCAAACAACTTTATATATAAACATTTTCTTCTAGCGACACCCTGTAAGGAAATATCGTCCGATATCGCACTAATTGAACACCCTGTATATCAGTGCAAGAAAAAAATATTCTATGCAAGTCCAAATGCCATCAGAACATGTCTGCAAAACAAATAAAACACTCAAATAAAAGTTACACAGTGAATTTCACTTAAAATACAATACACAAAAATATTTTTTCATAGAAATCAGGGCGGCCCTACTTACTTTGTCCCATATAAAATGCAACATGTCTGAATGTTTCTAGTTCTAATGTTAGTTATATTGACAGTGGTAGATGGCGCTAGTTACCATAAGATATCACTATGTTGCATATTTTTATTGCACTAAAATTAGAACTAACACTAGAACCAACACAAGACCTAGAACTAGAATCATTCGGGTTTAGCCGACTTGAGAGACGTGCGGCTAAACCCGAATGTTTCTAGTTCTAGTTCTAGTGTTAGTTCCAGTTTTACACTAACATTGTCACTAGAACTAACAGTATACCTGGAACTAGAAACCCGAATGTTTTTAATTTGAAATCTAGTGTTAATTCTTATGACAGTGCTATTTAGCAATAGATATTACTGCGTTGCACATTTTTCTTGAACTAATTAATTTTACAAATAGTTTTAATTGTTATTCAGTGTTAGATTA